CGTCATCCAACTTGACTAATACACATGTTTCCAATTTACAGAAAGACTCTTGGTTTCAAAATTGAAATAAGACGCCAGTACAGTAGAGGAAGTTCTAAAACAATCTCTATAATCCAAGTTTTTTGGCAGTTTAGGCTCCATCATGTTTCTCCAGCCAAGAAATACTTCCAAAGATGACATTAGCTGTCATGTGCAGGGAAACAGCCTCACAGAGCCAGAAAGTACCTGACAGAATTAATTTCTTGCTGAACCTTTGGCTATGGGTTCAAACACACGTCTTGGATTAGAGTTGGCAAGCCAAAAGAAGGGAAGCATCTCTGGGCTTACACAGCACCTTTCCCTGCTGGATCCCCCCTCAGCACACGTTTGGTAGGAGAAAAAGAATATTACAGGACAAAAGCACTGACAGATGTATGACAAGGAACTCCTGGGTGACAACACGGAACAGACCATCTCAAACCCAAGGACTAGAGCACATCCCTGCTCTTATTGATGCTTCCTTTAGCACGATTCTGCATCTTAATTGGTGTGAATCAATCATCCAGTCACTTTGCAAAGCACACGCTGTTGCCATTACACCTACTAACTGTGCATCTGCAGTTCTGACTCTTACTGAGAAAGCACGAAGTGGTGCAAGGAATGAGTTTCAAAGATGCTGGAGAACTTTGCTTTTTCCAAGCCTGATTCACACACAACCTATGCGTCTACACAGAGTCGTGTCAACATTGCCAGTTTCCAGCAATAAGCAAAGAGGTGAAATTCAAGTCAAGGTTCCCTGGCTTAGCTTTCACAGCCTCTTTTCTCCTTCACTGTTCACAGCACACTTCTCAGCACACAGAGACTCAAGAGCTAAAGCATTGTGGGCTCCTTTTCTGTCAGTGCCACAGACACCCTGACTCAAGCAGATATTCCATTACCTGTTGTTGTGCTGTATTACCAAAGCTATTCAGCTTTTCTACTTCTTTCCAGCATGTGACCTCCACACAACCTCAAGGCTCTTAACCAACTCTATCCTGAGAAAGAAAGTGAATTCAGCTAAGTCAGTTACAAATACTTACATTACTAAACAGATTAAACCAGTGACATCACCAGTCTCAGGGCCATCTTACTGGGCCAATCAACTGAATTGGAAGTAACTGGACAGTACTGGCAAGATTACCATCATTTGTTCAGCAGCAAAAGGCAGGGACACCAGAACTGGTGCTAGTGTTAGCATGATGCTGTCAGAAGGAAAAGGAGCTCTGCTCCATTTTTACATTCCCTTCACTCCAGAATTTGTGACTCACTACACAATGAAAAGGCTTTGCAGTGCACTGCAGTATGACTCAGATGAGAATACAGCCAGAACAAAGCTGTTCATATCAAGATATTTTCAACCCCAGTGATTCATGGGAGGATTAGGAAAAGAACTGGTCTGATAAGATCCTCTATAGGGAGGGCTATGGAGCAAGTCCTGCAAGCAGCACACGAAGACAGATCTGATAGGACTCACCAGCATGCCAAACCCCCTGGAGAAGAAGGATTACAAACCCAGCTCAATCTACATTGAGGTTCACCTCAGTTCCCCCAGAAAAACAAAAAAACAAACAACTAGTTGTACTGCTGTCCACAGCTTGTCGTGGGGGAAGTGGAGCATCTGAAGGACATCAGTACAGATATACATTTTTAAACAATCTAGTCTGGAGGGGAAGGATCTGTTCTGCTCCTCCACACTCGCACACACTGTTCTAGCCTAATGCAACAAGATATGCTGTGGGAGAAGATAAGAGTAAGTAATACCAAGAGAAAGTGTTTCAGAGCCTGACTCAGGTGTACGCAGCCAAAACCTGCAGCTGCACTGATGTCAGCCCTTGGCAGCAACACCACCCTAAGTATTTCTCACGTTCTCAGACAAAAGGAGGAAGCCCTGGTAGGTTGGTACACAACGGACACAGCTGCCTGGAGAGAGGCTGGTGCACAGGGGGTGTCCCTCCTGCTCCGACCAAGGGGACTACACGGGACAGAACAGCACAAGTAGCCATCAGATCTGCGTCCTGCTAGATATTCCCCATCATCCAGGGTCCCAGAAGACTTGACAAAGAGCTAGACTTCAAAGACTGGCAGTGTGTGCTTATCTACCTGTGCTTCAGAGAGGTTTCAGGGGACAACAGCTCGTCTGCTGCTTCAGTGGAACAGCGGCTTGCACATCACACTAATCCTTGCCAGGTAGAGGTGGAAAGCTGGTTAAATCAGCAGCCTCCTCACCTGCAGGAGCACGTGGCACTGCAACAAGTGACATGACAACAGGCTAATGCAAGGCACTGCATTTCACTTCTGGCTGAAGTGAGATGTTCAGCTGATGCACAAATTCAAAGCCCGTCATCAAAACATGAGTACAAGGAACAGGTAAATGTTTACTAAGAGGTTACAAAATGAAACAATTTTATAAGGAAAGCAATGCTTTCCCTTGGCCATGGGTTGGGAAATCTTTTTCTAGAGAAGCAGTAAAGAATCAGAAAGGATACATTGCTTCCTTCCTCATAACAAATCAGAATGGGAAGGGACACTGAGCCCAGCTGTATGTCTATTTATGGTGACAGTGCAGCTAACCAATGGCTTGAAGTCATGGAGTTTACTAAAAGGTGATCTTTCCTTACTATAGCTGGGGATGCCCTGCCCTTATCCACCCCCATAAACTCCCAGCTAGCATCCCCTACTGACCTCTCCTCAACCTCTGGAGAACTCAAATGCAGTGTGTAGTTTAACAGTTCATACTTAAGAATCAGGGTATCAATCACTAATGGAATACAAAACAAAAATACACACAATTTGTGGCAATGAGACCTACAAAGTAAAGAAAATAAGCAGAATTTAAGATTAAAAATGGACTTCCTTATTTTGAGGATGTATACAATCCCACCTGCTAAATACAAAAGGTTCCTAAAGCTAAGGGGAGACAATGCCAGCACAGGCTGCAAACAGAGCAAGAGATGCATATTCATAACAAAGCTAATAGAAAAAAAGCTAGAACTCAAAACCAAAAGGCCTTCTGAACAATTTAAAGCATGAGAGAGCGTTCAGCATTTCAGTTCCCAGCCCAGGATTAAGTTTCCCTGTTTCACTGCATTAGAATTAATCTGTGTGGCTACGAACTCCAGAGTCAACTCGCAGAGCCACAGCAGCTTCGTTATATAACCACGACACCGATAGCACAGGCTGCATTGCTGGAGCCTGTTTGCTCCCCCTCACCAACACCAAAACCAGCAAAGCTGCCGCTGCTCAAATCATTCTCTTGACGACAGACGCCTCAGTAATCCAGACATTCGAGTTTGGATTTGATAAGACGTTTTCTTGCGAGCTGATGTTAAGACTTAAAAGGCCATCGACTGCTGTGCAAGAAGTCCTTAATATCATCAAGGGAGGGGAGGCAGCTACACAGGAGGAGAACAGCAGAAGGCTTTAAGTGGGAATATGATTACTGTAGAAAAATTATCTGACAAACAAACACAACCCCAGATTGTTGCTGGAATGCTTTCAAGCAATTTAAGTGAAAATCAGTACATCTGCCATCTATTCAAAGGTCAACTACTGCTTGTTTCACGATAACACACTCCCAAGAACATCTTTCCATGAACTCTTAACTTCTGATCTCCAGCTTCTCATATACCTTGTTTTAAAGGCAGTTACCCTCTGAGGTCATGGAAATACAGTTCAGCTGCTGTGCAGCATTACATCTGCATGTGGCCATCTTGAACTCTGCTAACCCAAGGGAACTAAAATTAACAAATTGAAGCCCCAAATACAAAGTTATGTTAAAAGTCCCTTTGATTTACAGGTTTCAAGGTGTTTCTTTGTATCCACCCATCGCTCTTTAAACACATCTCTCGCATTTTGCTCTAGCGTCAGCCCACAGGTCCGTTCATCTGTTCAAAACAAAAAGCCAAAACACACTGATTTCTCAAGCATTTCTAATACCTTCTATTTCCAGGATAAAATGAGAACTGTTTAGATACCTCAGCCTTCCTGCCTGTGTGCATGACAGCAGGCTGCATATATAGGACACTGCAAGTATGTTCAGAAAAGCAAAATGGTGTTTTCAAAACCAGAGAGTGTGGCAAAACGAGGCAGCAGAGCCACTGCAGCTCTGTTCCAAGATGACAGCAGAGATCACAGATGTTGGAGCGCACAGATTCACTCCACAATCATTTTAATTACGTGCCTAGCCAACCAAGCACAGGATACGGGCTAAGCAGCATTAAAAAAAAAAAAAAAAAAAAAAAAAGCGGCACACAAGTATTGTGTGAGCATCCTCCCGTGCACTTGATGCGAATGCCGCTCTCGTGCATTAAGTCATCTGTTTTCCAGCAGGCAGGCAGTCGGTTTTGGGAAGGCACTGCTGGCCTCTCTGCAGGGCTGGTGGCATCAATGAGGATAGTCAGGGCAGCCTGCACAGGGTTATCGCCGGCGATGGGGGTTATGGTCCAGCCAGAGGCACCAGGCCGGGACGGTGCCTTCGCCTGGGCAGCGCTGGGACCCGGCCAGGGCACCCACCAGGGCACCCACCAGGGCACCCACCAGGGCAGCCCCAGCCCCGCTGCCGGGGCCGCTCCGCGATGCGGTTTAGTGGGCACGGTGGCGTTCGGTCAAAGGTTGGGCATGATGACCCTGGAGGTCCATTGCAACCTTAACGATTTTATAATTTCACCTTCTCCCAAGAAGAACTTGGGGTTTCCAGCAGCCTGGCGGGGGTGGGGGGGAGCCCAGGGCTCCTGCTCACCTCGCCGGCAGCGACAACCTCCAGCCGCCAGCAGGGAGACCCCTGCCCCGACCCTGGGCAAGGGGATGGAAGGGGCAGCTCCTGCCTGCCAAAACCTCAGGGACAGGGGGGACACGGCACCCACCGACACCCACGGGCACCCACCCGGGGAGCCCCAGCAGGGGCCGGGCATCCCCCTTTCCTCCTCCTCCTTCTCACCCCCAGGCGGTCCGAGCCCGCTCCGCGCCCGCTGCCCAGCACCCACCTGCTGGTACTCGGCGTCGTGCGGTCGGAAGTCGGCGGCGGTGAGCTCCCAGCGCAGGCTGAGGTGCGGCAGGCGGTGCAGGAGGCTCACCCACCAGGGCGGCGAGTAGCTCACGCCCGCCATGGCCCGGCCGCGCCTCACCCCGACCCGCGGGCCATGGAGCGCCTCCCGCCTCACCGCCGGCCCCGCATGGCCCGGTCACCCCCGCGGCCCCCGCGCTCTCCCGCTCCCTCTTTGTTCGCCCGAGAGGCTCCGCCGCCCGCGCCCGGCACCGCCCGCCCGCTCCCATTGGAGCCGCCGCCGCCGCCGCCCCGCCCCGGCCCGGCCCCCGCGCTGGCATCGCTGCCCCTGTCCCTGCCCCGCACACGGCGCTCCCCGCAAATATCCCACAGACATCCCGCGAACACCGATTAATGTTCTGCTGCGACGCGGTTCGCACGACCCAGAACCAGCCAGGTTGCAAAAGACCTCTGAGATCATCCAACCTCTGACCCAACACCACCTTGTCTGCTAGACCATGGCACCAAGTGCCACATCCAATCTCTTCTTAAACTCCTCCATAAATAGTAATCTCTTCTGAAATACCTCCAGAAATACTCTGTTCAAGTGATTATTTTGTTATGGTGGTGGTGCTGGGTTGACAGCTGGACTTGGTGATCTTAGAGGTCTTTTCCAACTTAATGCTTCTACGATCCCATGAACATGGCACCTGGCACTGACTCTGGTTCACCTTCCACTCTTCCCTTTGCGGGCAAAGGTTTGGCCTCACCCAAACCCTGACCCACAGCCAGTGCATTGCTTCATCAACTCCAACGGACCCGGGGCTGTCAGCTTGTGTTGATGACATCATAAATCAGAGCCTTGAATCAAACACCTGAATGTTTCAGCAATGACAGCATCCAACTGCACAACACCTGGGAGCTGTGCACAACATAACAGCGTGTGCTGGGCTCCCCACAGAGCCACTCACACACCACTTTCCCAGGGATTATACTCCAACCCAGTGGAAAAGGCTTTTCATTTCTTTCTAAACAGAACATAACCAAACTATTTTTAGTCTTAAAGGTAAAAAATATGAGCATATCCTCTCTGGGACTTCTCAGAACCAAGTGAGTATATAAATACTCTGTACAACACTAGGATAGCATGGTGGAATAGAAAAGATAATGCTGAGCAGCAGCAATCCCAAATTTATTCACTTCATTACAAAGATCGTGCTGTTCCTGTTACAACTGAAATGTACACAAATATTTGCTGTTTTCTTTTTAAAGGAATAGACCAAACAATTTCATTCTTGTTGTATGTAGTGTAGTCCAGCATTAATGCAGGAGTTCCTAAACTTGGCCAGGCTATTCAGACCATCTTCTGGGCCTTTGTTCTCTCCACCCCAGTCTCCCCCTCCCAGCCCTGCAGCAGCACACCTCACCCACTGCTGACTGCTCAGAGCACTGTGTTTAAATATCACTCAACAGAATTTGGAGCTGGAAAAGGAAAAAGGACTATCCAGTCCTCCAACAGACTTCAGGCAAATGTCTCATAGGTCTTACAGGCCTGAGAAACCCTCATCTGTTTAGAATTAGAAACCATTATGGCCCATGAAAATATGGGAGTGCTGTGTATCCAAAAAAAAAAAAAAAGAAAAAAGGAAAAAGGGTAATACCAACTGATTTTTTTCTCCTAAATGGCAGCAGGTCAGGACATATCATGGAGACATCTCCTTTGCAAGTATGATTTTATTACTTTTCCCAAGCGCAGCCAGGATTTCATACTTCATGTTGTCCCGACTGATGCGTTTCATAAATAAGGAGAGCAAAAAACGCCAAAATAGGCTATTTAACACCTTAGGAGACCAAATAAACATATTTCTGCTGATGTTCTGAAATATAACATCAACTTTAATAGCTTTTGACTGGGACGGGATTTTCGTATGAGTATTATCAGCATAGCTAAAAGGAAATCTTATCACTCCCAAATAGCATTAAGGCACACGTCAGAGGGTTCACACCACGCAGGGTGAGCCCAAGTACAAGATATACGAGGGTACAAGATACAAGACCTCAACTCCCCTCCAGCTTTCTCCAAGAAAAGGGTTTATTTTCTGCAAAAGGACAGCTCAACATCAGCTAATTTAGTTTTCTTCCCTGTTATTTTAATTTTTTTTTCTCACAACGCCAGCGAGGATGAAGAAGGAATTATTTTAAAGGCCAGTGATCCAATGTATTTCACCTCCAGTTCTAAAATCCCAAAGACAAGGAGCGGAGAGACCTCGCTGGGAGTGAGAGATCTCTGCATAAGCCACTTATGGCACAGAGTTTATGCAATTTGGCGCTAAAACACCCAGGGCTGGGATCTGTCCTGCAGATGTTACTGCTGCCTCTGGAATGACACAAAACCCCCACTGGGCTGCAAGGCCAAGTACCTTCGTCAGCAAATGATGGACAAGGAATAGAAGCAGATGCAGCAAACACTCCACACCGAGATCCTGTTCGATGGAGTTGATGTAAATCAAACCAAATGAAATGTTTTGGAACAGACGAGAGAAAAAGCTGGATGCTGTTACGTGGGGGTGCGACACCAGCGTGTCAGACCCAGTTTGAGGCACCATAATGGGGACAGGGGTAAGTGGGAAAGGGAGCAGCTCAGCAGTGCTGGTGTTCATGCCTCTCCCTCGGCCTTTTGCTGCGGAGACAACTGGATTAAATTATAGTAGAATGAGCATTTGGGATTATGGAGAAACAGAGGCATCAACAGTTTTCATTTCTCCACCACAATTATTTATAATGATATGGGGAAAAGAAGAGTAAAATGGATTCAGCAAAATAGGAATGAGAGACAAACCACAAGATCCAGCACCAACCATACTTTCCATTGCAAGGCACTTCAGCCTGTTGTACCACCTCCAGAAGCAATGTTTGCAATCCTGGGATGTCTAGCATTTGATTCAATTCAGGTGATTCTTAATTACATGACAACAAGAGAGTTATCAGGGTTCTCATGTTTAGATTATAGCAGCCTTTTTCCCTTCCCACACAAATAGGTTCACTCTGTTTCGCCAAAGCAAAATGAACAAAACATGACATTGCTGTGACATCCCAGGAACAAAATCTAACAGTAAATCACCCTTGCATGGAAAGCTGTTCTACAGTCAACCAAAGCAGACTGCAAATGTCAGCTTGTTCACCGGTAATCCTGCTGAAAAGTAACCCAAAGAGCTGTATTAGCATTCACTAAATTGCTCTGACAGTGGCTTTGCTAAAGAATCACTGGACAAAATGGGCAAACATGAAATACTCCAAATTAAAGAAAACGAAGATAAACCAGACTGGTTTAAACCTCCAAAATAAGGCAGCCAGCACTGTTCTCCATCCTCGTGAGGCCATCGAGCAGTCTGCAGAAGCACTCCTAGAAATGTAGCATTTTTCACTCTTCACAAGCTTCTTTCTACTGCAGACATCCCTACTGCTGATGTGATGCTGGCAATGAGAGCACTTTTTGAAACAGCAATCCCATATCCTCAGCTTTTGTTATTCACTCTGAAATTAAATAATTCAGCTTTCAATATACTGTGGAGTGAGGAGTCCTCCCAACTGTCAGACCTAATACGTGCTACAAAAGGTTTTAGCCAAAATACAGATCCAAAAAAAACCCAAAAAAGGCAAATTTGAACTCCGAGTCCCAGCAGATGGGTGAGTTACCCTCTTGAGACAGGGACTAAATTATGGACAGTCAGAGGGAGGTCAGTGAGACGATCATGTCTCTGCACTCAGCTGCCACTGTTAGGCAACACCTCTGGCTCTGCCACTCCACAAACTCTGCCCTTACATCAAGCTGTGCCTCCTTCCCGCTGAGCTGGACTGTGCCTCCATTAAAATTACCCTTCCTCTCCTCCCAGGGCTTCCTCTGTAATTTTCTGCTCAAAGTCAAAGGAAATAACAAAGCCAGGGCTGCTCTCCAGCCTCCCCCAGTTATTGCTGCCCCCTCCACAGCAGCTCAGTCCTCAGCCTCCCCTCTTCCCAGCAAAGCCACGTTGCCAGGGATCTTCCCAGCTGACTTCTCCTCCCAGCTTGAAGGATTTCCCCTGAGTGAAGGCATCTGCTGGCAGGAACATTCGGGTCTTCATTACTTTCCTCTGACATCCTCCCAGGGACTTTTAGGTTTGCACAAAGAATAGCCACTACCAGGGCCAGCATAAAACACTGTAAGCAAACTCAAAAACGGCACAAGAAAAGGTTAATTCTCTCATTTCCAGTCCTGAGGCAATATTCTCTCTCTCTCATGTTCTACCAGTCTTTTTAAACTCTGTGAATTCCAGGGAAATGGGTGGAAGATGTGGAAATCCTATTGCAAAAGCACCTGCCCGCTCCTTTCCCCAGAGAGCCACACAGAACATTCTATTATTTAGTTAATTGCAAAGAAACAATTACAAAGGAACTTGGCAAACTCTCTCTAATCACAGCAAGACCTATTTGCAGTCCAGTAAGTTCAGCAAATTAGCAAATAAGTGAATACAAAAAGGAAAGAGTCATACAGCTTAAATTCGACTTTGTTGGTTTGTTTTGTCACTCATAGTTTCTGTTTAATTATTTAAGGTATTTCTTCATAACATTCTGGTACACTTTGTATAATAATGAAGGTTTACTAGCATGGAAATGCAATATGTGGCTATTAAATATCTGCCGAGAGAGGGAAGAAAACTGCCAATTCTGTGAGTAAATTATAGAGAGCCTGCTCAGGAAAAATTTCCAGGTTAGATAAATAGAAGGTTCTGCCACAATTTGTGTAAGATCCAAATAAGGATTATTGCTAGATAATGGCAATGCTAAGCAATGTTTGTGCACAGTGTTGTACTACAGGCATTCATGGACAATCCCATTTATTAAGAGCTATTCTAATTTTCCACACATATACCTAGAGGCCATTCAAACACAGTCTTTTTAAAACCAGCACTGTAACCAAGTGACAGATTTTACAGTATCTCATCCCTGAAGTCATATTGCAGAAAAAACCTTCAAGCTCTGTTACATTAGTGAAGCAGAGATGACGGGCTGAGGAAGGGAGAGGAGTGAGATCCAGGTGTGGGATTATCTGGCTGATAGAGAGGGGAGTAAGCAGCCCTTGACAATGGACATGATGTCCCTCCTGGTTCTCCCCAGACCATTTTGAGCATCAAGATTTTATGACACATCTGTTCACACTACCAACAATAGAAGCCCTACAAGGGCTTATGTGGTACCTGGCACAACGTGTCTGTGAGGCGTGTTGGCAAAATCCTCCCAAATAGAAGGGGAGCTGTTACAGTCTGAGCAACACCTTGGCAGAGGAAGGTTGTTTATACACAGCTCTAGTGAGGGGAACAACACAAATGCTGTCCTGGAGACCAGTGGGAATCCACACACTTTGATTTGAAAAAGGCGATTGGGAAATTGGGAAAGACAGGCTGTGAGAGGGGCAAGGGGAGCAACTTAACCAGTGGACTACAACAGAGTGTAATTAGTAAGAACACAGCAACACTCACCATTCAAGGCTATTCCTTTGTGCACAGCAAGGACAGAACAAGTGCTAAAAGCCATATATAACCAAGAGCCACGTGCCTTACACACACCTGTAAACAGGGCAAACATCTGGAAGGTGATGTCAGGTGCTGTCTCTACCAGCAGAGAAACACTTCAGCAAACATTAGAAGGAAACATCAGAGGAACCGATGCAGCACCTGACCACCAACCACACCTGAAAACCCTCCCACCAATAACCCGGAGTTTAACATGGAAATGTTGCTCTTTGCAGGTCTCAATGATGCCCATCAAATGAAACCTTTTTTCCCCTCTTTAAAAGTTCATATGGGAAAGCAATTCATCAGCTGACAAACCTTCCATAAACAGATGCTGCAGAGCTTGCAAGAGTCAAGGGCATTCTGACTTCAGATGAAGACAAATTATGATTTAATACAACTACAAACATTTAATTGCTTTCAACTGAATTCAAGGCTAGTCTGCTCCAGGAAATAGTATCAAAACTTTTCCATTCATGCCTCATGGATTACCTCCAGTGTTTAGGATTTAAAACCAAAATTGGTCTTAAGAAATCCAGAGAATATGTCAGTAGAGCAGAGAAGGAAGAATAAAAAAGTGAAATTAGTTAACATATTCATCAAACACAGACTATTTCATCTTGTACTCTTACAGCTGTTTTAGTCCTGCAACAAGGACTCTGCTTGACAGGAAGGTGACTGCAGGATTCCCATGTCTCGGCAGCAGTTAAAGGGATATTCTATGTCCACAGAGCAGCATAAGGCTTGTTTTTCCTGGGAGTCCCTGAAGGCTTTCTCAGTGGACCTGGAAAGGAATGCATGTGTCCTAGTTCCTTCCAGAGCTTCATAAACAGCAACAGTAACTGAGGTTAGGGGATACACTCTGAGCAAACTGGAGAGTTGAAACCTGTAGACTCCTGCTCTCCCACAGCTGCTGGCAGACCAGTTTGTCCCAGTCCTGTGCCTCTCTACAGCACAACTGAACCTCTGTGCCCCTGGTGAGTTCCAACACTGATCATCCCTATAATACACCAGACGGCAAGACTGAAAGCAAAAGTCCATCAGCTCTTTCAGTTCCACCAGGCTTTGGTCAGGAACCCCGTTCACTCCTGATGGGACAACCTTAAGCATGTACTGAAGCAGAAATTCCACACCCTGCATGTTTCTGAGTTACCTTGTTACTATAAGCTCAGGAAAACAGTCAGGGATAAAAGGTCAATCCAGGTGCAAAGTGAAAGCAGGAACACCCGGCAGAGGCCAGAGGGGCAATGCAAACACAGCAACGGCAGCACAAACACATCACCTGTTCATATACAAACTTTATTTCAAAATTCAACAATCAGGAGTAAACATATTGCAATTGTGTTAGCTTTTCAAGGATCCCAAAATAAGTTACATAAAATACTTGCACAGTTCTGAATATTAAAAAGATCATAAAAATTAATGGTGCTCTCATATGCCAAGATTACTCCTTTTCCATTTTGACTACATTAAAAGTTGCCTGTGCAGGGATTATTTTTATAGCTATGCAAAAAACCATAGTTTTCATGTCTGGATGCCTCAGTAAAGATTTACAGGCAAAGGCACTTAAGGGCAAAAAGAGATCAAGAGAGATAATGTCCCATTAAAGTCCAATCTCTGTACGCACACACAGTCTCTAACTAAACACTGCAAAAGATTTTAAGTTGGAAACATTATTCCATATCAACAGAATGGAAAGTGTGCTTTTAGATTACATAGGCTACAGTGGAATTTAATTTTAATTCAAGACCTTGATGTCCCCACAAGGTTTCCAGGGCTTTCTACAGAAAACTTACTTTTCAGAAACAGCCTGTTTGTATTGGGTTTATTTTGACAGGTTTGAGCCACACTGATTTTCACTGTCCTCAGCTCCCTGTTGAGGAAAAATGCCATTTATTCAAATAATTTTTTCTTCCATCGTTGTTCCACACTTCTTCCCACAGGTGCTGGCATTCAGATAACCACAGAACAAAACCTTGTGTCCACCACTGTTCCCTTCAACACACTCCATTCCAGTGCACAACACAACCATGTTAAAGGCTACTGACACTGTGGAGGTTTCTCTTCCTACTGTTCCACACCAAACTCATTGTGCAGTGAGCAAGTTCTCCTCCAAACCAAAATATTAGTTTGAAACCCATCTCAAGTAAAGTATCAGATTTTTGATACCTAGGAAATAGCAGTCTCAAATTTAGAAAGCTCTAGACATATTTTCACCCCTTCCAGAAAATGTTTCATCCTTTTCACCCCGATTCTGTGCCTTTGGGTCATCCCAAGATACCAGCTCCCCTTTATGCCAGAAGTTGTCTGTTGACAGCTCTACTGCTGGTCACAGGCTCAGGTAAAACAAATCTTCCTGCTCTGTATCAACTTCCTAATGCTTTCATATTGGTCATTACAGCACAGTAAAGTAAAAGAATGCCATCTTTATTATATTTGCTGTCTCAGTATTTCCTTATAGGATAACAGCTAGGTAGGTATTTGATATCAGTCTGGGTCCTGACACTACATACCCTTCCCTTAATGTGTCAGTCCTCAGCTCTAGTTACTCTCTCTGGAGAGATCCATGACAGAGCCCCAGTTACAGACTTGAAATATTATACACAGGCAACTCAGTACAGCTCTGCTTCCATTTAGCAAAATGACCCTTCTTCTTAACATGACTTCCAGAAACAGAGGGAAGCAGGTCTCAGCTTCTACCAAGAGGATTCTATCCCTTTTTTATTTTATATATATTTTTTTATCCTTTCTGCAGATGACAGTCATGTGACCAAAGTACAGCCAGGAAAAATTTACCCATTGGGAGTGCAAATGACATTCTTCAGGCTGCTTTGGGTATGGAGAGCTCCCAGAACTGCCTTTGGAAATAGTACAGGCAGCATTTCCACCGATGGGATTAAATGAAATCAGCTGCATTGTGCTGCAGCCATCCAGTTTCCTCTTTGGCTGCAAGTACTGGCACAAACTCTGATAAGCCTCAGATAGTGCTTCACTGAAATCACAGAACTGAGACAGCCCTGACTTATTGGTATTCTGCAAAACAGTGGTGACTGATTTTTAATTTAAAAAAGAGAAGGTGATAAAAATCTTATATTTAAGAGTGTGCTTTCTGTTTACAGGAGACTTTATTACTCTTTGGTGACAAAGCAACCATTAGGGTTTCCAGCAAACCTTCACTGTGTGCATGTAAAATTAAATTCTCCTTTCAATAAATATCACGATTAAAAAAACCCACACAAGCATTTTAATGCTTTTGAAGGGTGTTGGTGTGACAGTAGGAATTCTCCAGTCAAAAAGTACAGTCTGCACAGAAGATCTGGAAAGACCCCTCTGATTATATTCTCCACAGCCAGGTCTTTGGTCTTTCCATGGACAATGTTATTGTCAGTGCTGTTTCTGGATGCAGTCTTAATTTCTTAATCCAACCTACCACTTCTGTTCCCAAACCAAACTGCATGGATTAGGTTTTGTTTATTATACTCATCCTAATCCACAATGCACAGAATTAAGTAGGCAGTGCCCATGTTCTCCAGCACCAGCCTGGCAGAGACAGATATGGGTGGATATGTGATCCCTCTCCCAGATTCTGACTGGACCCACTGTGCAGGTGTGCACAGGCAAAGGTAGTACTGGGAAGAGGTATCAACCACAGCAAAGCAACATCAGACTTAAAACCTTAGTGCTCCTCCCCTCAGTGCATCAGCACTGCAGTCAGGTGAACATTTCAGACAGTCCTACCTCCTATGTCAGATGTTTTCACATCTCAGAGATGAGTCTGTATAATGAACTCAAATTTGTGATCTGTAAGCAGAAAGCAGTCACAAGGGTATCCTTCACAGAACACTCCTGCCACTACACACCTGCCCTGACAAATCCAAAAATCTGATTATGTGATCAGACATTTCAAATACAAAACATTCTATACACATCATCGCAAGCACACGTGGAAAAAGCAATAAATAAGGAAAGCCAGCTGATACGGTAGGCCTAGAATGGCCCTATGACAGAAGAATGGCTTACAAGGTCTGTAAATGTTCAGTATAAAAATAAACAAAAAAAGATACAAAATATGACAAGTAAAATTTTTAAATAGGGAGGCCCAGGTAACAAATACCAGCTGTATCCTTCCACATACACAGGCTGAAAATCGGAGTCACGTCATTAACCGCTTTCTGATTACATAAATTATATTTTTAGTTGATCTGAAACAAAACTTTGTTTGACATGGAATAGCTTAAGGCTTTATTGCTTTCACTTGAATTTGTCAACTGAATTTACAATCCTCATTGTGAAACAAAAGATTAAAGTGTTTTGGTTGAGTTTTTAAATCCAAACTCTCTGTGCGCCAGGGTAAGGTTAACAGTCAGTCAGTGGCTTTTAGCCATGAAGTCTGCAGAGATGCCATATGAAAGAATGGCTGAAATAATGTCAACTGCCATTAAAAAGGGGCTGCTATTCCTCCTCTCTTCATCTTTGACATGCCTGATCTTGGTACAAATAGTTTTGTTCGTGAATCCAATAATTCAAGATCACCAGAGCCTGTCACCAAAACTTAAAAGTGGCTGTAGCTTTTCTTCATCTGCAACAAAGGAGACACAATAACAACATCATCCGAGTCGTCTGAGTGAGCTTCATCCCCGGGCAGGGCGGGAGCAGGATGGGACGGCCCCTCAGAAGACCTGGCTGAAATGATCCCAGAGGAAACAAGGTCATCAATAAACAACATTGACAAAAACAAGCCCTTCTGAGAAGTGTGATATTCTCCGAGTCACTGAGTTTCCAGACCTACCCACAGGTATGGATAAGCCTGATCTATCTGTTTGTGCAGAGCTGCTCCTGCTCTCCTTAGTGAACCAGCCGTGCATGGCCAGTGTTGAGCTGACAGACCGACCACACCTCATTTGTCTTACTGCCTTTAAATCTCTGCAGGTGGTTACACACCACCAAGTAAAGCAATTTGATACTGAAGCCATCGCAGGTCATAAAACCAAATATTTATTACACGCCCAGAAAAGGAAAAACTGACCCAAGCTTAAACTATGCAGAAAGGTAACAATGAGAATACAGATGGAGCAAAGGGAAATGGACACAAAGAGAGATAGAAGCTCTCAGCCACTGTCTTTCATCCTTATACCTGTAAAATACCAAAAATATTATTCACCAGCTGCACTACTGTAATGACAATGAAACAGTGGCCACATCATGGGGTTTGTTTTTCTTTATTTTTTTTTAATTTTCCTTCTTTGCCATTTTTCTGGATGTGTGTTTCTATGTGTCTCATCCATTCCAACGTGTGAAAAAATATTCAGGGCATGAACAGATAGATCCCTAATGATTGCAGTAAACACTGGAAAACCAGAGGGATAAAATGAACCCATACAAAGTCCCTAACACCTGAAGAGTAGAACCAGCAGCTTGCCCTCTACAAGAGATCTATGAACTAAATGATGACTGCTATTAATACCTTCCAGCACAATATCCTCCCCTCAGCTATTAATACCTCCTAGCACAATATTTTCCCCTCAGCTCCACTTTTCAGTTTCAAATATAAATTATCTGAATAGACTCTCCCAGAGAAGAAAACTAATCAAGACAACCTGTGGTAGAAGGGGAAGCAGGCAAGAGGCCATACACTGAGATTCTGACCTGAAATGAAGGGCACACAGAGAATATTACCTGAGGAGAACACACAAGCCACAGGTCTTGTAGTGAAATAAGAGGTTCCTGACACTGGAAAAAATCTCCTGGTATGGAAGAACAAGCATAAAAACTGGAATATGAAATAAAGAAAGGGGACCACAACTGGCCCAGAAATAGAAAAAGAGTGACAGACAGAGAGCCTGTGAATGGCAAGGAGGAATGAAGACAGGCCATTACATTGACCTCAGCCTACAGAAGCAAAGAAACACATGACTTTCTAGTTAAGTGAAATTCTTCTTTGCATCAGTCAACAAATAATGTCAGAATTTTTCAGGAAGGTTTATGAGACAGTAGCTCTGGTGATACAGAGGAACAAAGGGAACTTCCAGAAGCAGGCATGGTAACTAGAAGCAGCAACTCCAACAATAAACATATTATACATGAAATAGTTTAATATTATCCAACCATTCTTGATTATATCCTGCTCTTGATGTCTGAGATTCTTGTCCTCATCTTCAATTTAATATACTTCAGAGACAACTTTATCTTTGTGCTTGTGAAGGTTAAGCACTGATTAGAGTTAAGGGTTGTATGTAAATTCATTATGATTTCAAGAAAGCCTCAAATGAAGTTAACAGTCGTAGCCAGAGTGGCCAGTAATAAGCAGAGAGAAATTCTGCCCTTAATCGAGATTGCTGTGCATGTACAGAACATATTCTTCCTTCCTGACACTCCCCTGACAGAATGAAACAAAACACCACATTTTGCAGACTGAATAGTTAATATCTGTTCCATTTCATGGGAAACAGCAGACATGGCTTTATAAAATCTCCAAGTACTGTTCACATTCTGAAGACAAGCAAAGCAGCACTGAATGCTACACCAGATTTTTTTAATTATTTTTTTTTTTTAGAAAATACAGAGACATCTAACCTGATGCAAACAATGAATCCAAAGTCTGCAATGCTAGACAAGGATTATATACATTCATTCTAGCAGGTACAAAAGGTTTTTTAAAACACATTTTTATCTTCCCCATTCCTCTCAAAATAGTGCTGGAAGGGTAGTGAAGTGAAATGACTTATTGCAATATATACACTGACTGGAAGCTTAAGATCATTGTAAGACCTAGAGGTCACAAAATGAAAGTTTGGACTTGGGACAAATGAAGTAAGAGCCTGTCCAGTTGCATGATTAAAAGCTAAAAGAATCTGATTGCTTTAAATCACTCAGCTGCTCAACAAGCTCCTTGTCTCAAGTAGTTTCCAAGCTGCAGGATGACCATGGAAATCCCAATTCAGCATCAAAACCCAGTCATGAGCTCAGAATGGCAGAGGTGGACTTTTGGTTAACTTTAGTTTAAGCTACATGAATTGACATGGCAAACAACCAGACAGATCACCAAGGGGTCACATTTCTTCAGAAAGGTGGCATTTACATCAGAATGCTCTCCTTCCTAATTTCTCATTTGGGACAGTTTGGTTAAACACTCCAATACACCATATATTATGGACCTAATAATTCAGAGAGCTTAGTGTCAGGCAGTCTTTGGGCACTTGTGCAGCTACAGAAGCATATACCCAGTATGCCTCTCCATAAGCCACCTGGATACATTCTATCCTCATCCCAGACACTTTGAAAAGGTCTCCCATATTCCTAAAACCAGCAGCAAATTTACCCTGCTTTGCTCCCAATCTCTCCTTTTTGATATTCACCAGTAAAGGACCGCAAGGAAGAAAGTCTGAAAGTTCATGATTTCCTCTCTATCACTTTTAGTATAAACAATTCCAAAACTTCTTCACTCATCAATTTGTCATCATAATCTGCAATAAAACTTAGCTTTGGAGACTTCATAGCCAGACAGTGACTGTGCTCTGTTGGGATTCACATGACCACGTTTCCCAGACAAGCTTCATCTTACACCCTTCTTTGGGTCTTAGAAGCACTAAGCATAATTAAGTGATTCTTCCTCTTTGGGTAGAATTTCACAACTGATTTACTCTAGGTTTACACAGAGCATGCCAATAATGACTACTGCAGTAGAGTTCAGGCAAAACAGGGTGCTGCAGCACTTTTTTTTTCCTGGATACTGTCACTAGACATAATTAAGATCACTCAAAACTCAAACATCTTCAGAAGCAAGCACTACCTACTCCTTCACAAAGTGGAATGTGCCCTGAAAATAGAACACAGTTAAGTTTCTTAAACACATTTTCTTTTACTGAAGTGTGACCTCTGTTTTCACAACCCCTGCAAATCTGGCTTATTCCCTGTCTCCTATCTTAGAGAAACAGCCTCAGCTGCTTAAAGCATTCTCTGTTTCTGAGCAAGTCTGCAGGGACTGTCAGCTTTTCATCGACAAAAAACAAGTCAATGTTTCTCGGGTCACACTCAAAGTTGCTCTTTTTTTCCTCCCAACTGGTCCATTAAAGCCTAAAATATCCCACTCTGGACAGAACCAACCTTTTTCAATTTGTTTTTAACTCCTTTGAAGCTGCATGTCTGAAGCTGCCTTATCTGCAGCATTGTTTTGCCTTTCCCACTCAGGACTTCTAACATCCTCCTAAAAGCCTCTTTGGCTTTAACTCCATCTTCTCACAAACAGCTATAAAGAATTCAAGAAGAAAACCAAATGGCATAAGAGCCATAAAAAAGACAGATTTTTCTCAGTTTGTATTACAGTAGTACTAGTTGGCAAGGTTATCCAGGACTTCATTTTTCCCCCTCGCTGCAGCAACTGAAGACTGCTGAAAAAAAACGTGACTGAACACACATGGCTGCCTAGGATGGTTCTTTTTACCAGTTGTCTGTCTGTCTTCTGCAGAAACTAAGTCAGGGTGGTGAAAACATTCTCAGCTTGTCTATGGCTAAGGGCCCAAAAACGTAGTGGAAAGTACCATCCTACAGCTACAGGGATGGGAGGGCTGAAAAGGAACTAAAGAGGCAATACAGGGGAACACCATGTTCCTCAAATAATTACCACTTGCACCAGAGAGACTTTCCAAACCACAGTTGTGACAAAAACACAAAGCACTGTGAGGAAGCTGGTAGTGGTACTCTCAGATCTTTTATTTTTTATGTAAGGAACTGCACGTGCCAGGATAAGCAACATGTCATTAAGTTAAGCCCCACACACAGAGTACAACTGTGCACTTGCACATGTGTGTGCACGTGCAGATGTTCTCCATAAAACTGTGTGTGCACCCACTCAAAACACACACACTTTTGAACACAGGGAAATGAGATTACCAGGAAGAGGCGACATGAGGACTGAAGGAGGTCTCTGGAGTGCTGCTGAGACCGGTTTCTTCTCTGTACTGTAAAGTGCAGAATCTGCTTTCTCACTTGGTGCACTGGACACAGAAGACCTGCAAAGAGACACACTCTAGTAAGCAAACCACTGCACTCTGCCTGAGCTAAGTCATTTGATGGTATTCTAGTTTTCCCCTGTTCTTCCTCCACATAACCCTTAACTTGTACATGTCAGGGCTTCAGATTCATATATTAAGCAAGTGTACTAGCAATCTGTTTGATAGCAACAGCAACCTGTTTTTTTCCAAAGAGTAATTATTTTACTTTACTTCTACTCATTGCTATGGAAGAGAAAATGCAGCAGGATATGGAAAGACTCCTGTTGCTACAAAATTCCTTTTAGTTGCATGCCCTTTGACTTTTCTCAGGAGCAAGCTCTCCCATGTCTTTGTTGTAACAATGGCCTTGTTCTCTTTCTCTGCCAAGGAACCCACACTAAAATTCTGTTAAACAAATACTCCTCTCTTCTAATAAAACCAATTTTGCTACTGCATGTTGCAGAAATATCTACCCCTCACTTACCTCTCCTCAAGCAGAACTGTACGTGCTGAGTGAGCCCTGAAAATGGACTGAATGAACGTCACAATCTCATCTCTCTCCTCACAATCAGAGGACAAGCTCAAGGAGTCTGACATGGAAGACACGCAGGAGTTCTGCAAAGCAATCAGATTAAAGAAAACTGACCTTTTACAGATTGCACAGAAGCTTGACAGAACCTTTCACAATCTTACTCCTGATTGTGAAAGTGGCAGCAGAACAAATATTCCCATCTTTTGGTCTGCAGTCTTTAAGGTTCTGTAGGACTAAATCAGCAGGAAACGCAAATCTGATCATCATGCAAGCTTTGAAGAACCAGCATTCAATTAATGAAAGAGCAGACACCTGCAAGGAAAGTTCATTTATTTTCCAGGAAGGAAATCTTTTGAAGATGAAGGAGGTAAAGCAACCTTCATAATGGATCTATCTTCTGTGCTATCAAGCAAAGTATTCAGTCCTACTACATGGGGCCAGTTTGCCAAAATAAATTGCAACCAGGTGGACAACCTGGATGGAGAATTACAAATTAACTTTGGCCTGATAAAGGTCCAAAGGATGTTTATATAAATTGGCAAATCATTTACAGAAACTGAATATTTAATTGGTAAGGAAATTTTTTCATATGCAGAACTAAATAATCTGAAGCAAGCTGAACATGACAGATGACACTAAGTCTTTGGTTGAGCATGGCACATCAAGACTCCTTTATTTTTCAATCTAATCAAAGATGCTTTCCAGATTCTTATTTCTGAACTTCAGTGACAAAAGTTTATCTATTACTACAATGATCCAGTAGTGAACACTTGAGAGCAAGTGAAGTTTTCAATAGCACTCTGAATTAAGGAATGCATTATTAGCTGATGGGAGAACCAGAATAAAAGAGACCCAATTACAGTCCACAACACTGAGAATTTATAGCTTTACTTCTGAGAAAAAGTGAGAACTACAGAAGGTGGAAAAGGGAGCCCAGGGAACGAGCTCAGTATCTTCCTAGAATTACAGTGGAGTTGCCAACCACCACATTAAAACAACATCACCAGGTGATTCAGAGAATCAAGCCTGGAAGTGCAGTCCTTTACACTGCAAACTAATGGGATGTTGGGATACCCATTTGCCCCACAATTACCTTGTTGAGAGATTTTGCTTCATGGGTCCCATTATTCAGTAACAGTTTCTGTCGAGCTAAATGTCCTCTGAGAGCTGCCTGCAGCACCACAACTGCCTAGCAGGGAGAGAAGGAAGAAGATATTAGCTTCTTGGAAAGATAACCCACAGACATACACCTTTGGGGTCACCTCCAGGGTTTAAATTCCATCTGGGAGGTGCTCATGATTGCTCCTATCAAATGCAGGTAAGTTCCAAGTGCCAGCACCAACCAATACAGCAACATGTTCCCATTTCCATATTAGGCTCTGGCTACCCAGTGGGCTCTGAGATGCTCTGGCACAATCAAAAAACCAAGCCAAGCCTGGCAGATCATTGTGGTGATAACACTGAATGTAAGTCTTTCCCCTCCACTCAGAGAGTTTACTGGGTTGTTGTCTACAAGAAGCATTTAGATGTAAAGACTAATTTCTGAAAGTGGGATTTTTAATGTTCTAGAAGAAACAAACACAAGATGCCACACTGGGCTATTGGAAAAAACAGTTTAATCAAAACCTTTCTGCAAAACATTTATGAAGAAGTGACTTTGTTTGACAAACTTGCCAATTTCTTCATAATACTCCGAGATATCTCTCCTTAGCAAAAACTTCAAATCCTACTTCAAATCTTTCTGACGATTCATCACAGTAAAAATTAAAGCATTATTAGAATTATCTAGTTTAGAAAAAATTCCTGTCTGTCTGTATCAAAATTTTCAGAAGTACATTCATCTTGCAGAAGGTACTAAGTAAGGAAAATCTGAGACCAAAAGAGAATCACTGACAAGATATATGAAACACAACCAGGATGTCAGAAGGAAGATTATAAGCCAGCCTGAAGAACAAACATCACTGTGGTAAAAACATCTTTGAAGTTATTTGTTTGCTCTTTGATACAAATTAAATCTGTTGTACTGTTTTGTTGGGTGTAAACAGACTTACCTCATCCAGAGCAATTTCTTCTTTCTGAAATGAAAGATGCTCATGTTAATGCCACAAGTATATATGAGCTTTATCTAATAAAGACATTCCAAATATTCCCCAACAATTAAAACACACAGAAAATACTTGATCCAACCCCCAAAAAAACCTCAAACAACAAACCTAAGGAAAAAAACCCTTTTCATCTTTTAAGACATGTGGACAGATGGTAAAGAGTAAAATTCAGAGGGGCATGTCCTCGCTGTTCCCTGTTAGGACAATCTCACCTTGGTTTTGTACATCTTCCAGTGTCTCTGGATGATTTTGGCTGCTTGTTCTTCCCTGTGATCTTCTTTGCCTTTAACTGTGCAGACTGGTGAAGACTGCAAAGGAGAATCTTTAAGTAAGTACAGTCAAGACACAAAGCTGTGAGGGAGACAGGTTACTAATGACTCAGGAAAATCAGCACCAGAGTTCATCCTGCCTGCAGGGCAGGAGGAAGTTCAAGAGGAAACTCTTAGTTCTGAACCCTGCTCATGTTCAAACCCATCATCCAGATGAGTGTTACAGTGAAACACAGTCCTGCCCCCTTTTTAGCCCTTAGCAGAGCATGGGAATGGAAAAGTTCTCATCTCCACATACTCCTATTTTTCTATGCTTTGCTAAGGCACAGCTAACTCACTGCTTTGTTGATCAGAAATGGTTTGTATGTTATGAACAGACTGAGAAGAAATGTCAGGTTACCTAATTTTGCAGTTCTCCAGGAAAGACAAGTATTAATTAACCAGGGAATTCTCTAATGTCTCATCCTGGCAACTGTAGCCCCATAATTATCTGCTTAAACTTACTGATTAGTTGGCCTTGTCTGACACTGAGCAAACAGAGGGTTTTGTGTAAGTTGGCATAACTCTACTCTTCTATCTTGAAGAAATTAATTAGAGGACAAAGAAAGAAACCAAGAACAAAACAAGATTTTGTTCCAGTTATTTCTTCTGAGGTGTGGTTGCATATTCCACCTCTCAACCATTTGATCCTTTTGATCCCTAATTATCCCACACTAATTGTCACATCTCACTTGCCAAACAAAAGTTAGCTGCAAGTTTAAAAGACTAATTTAATGTATTGGTGTAAAATTTTAAATAGAGGAACAAGAGATTTTATAGACTCTAAAAAAACCTCTTGATTTCATGAAAAGGATTTATTTATAACCTAAAAATGCCGAGTTACAGGCTTAAGTTTAGCAAATGGATCATGTCATATTAAAAATGACAACCTACTATTAAAATGAGAAATTGGTAGGAACTTAGTAATAATTACAAATAATGGGAACATTTCAATAAATGGATGGTTACTGGCCAAGAATATATATAGTCTGCAGAGGAAAAAAGGAGCTGTTTGTTGGCTGTTTTTAAAGACTCGAGTTATTTGGTATTCAAAACATCCTCTAGCATCCATCAGCCTATAACACAAAAAAAGACTCTAAAGAATTGCACAGTATATCAAAAACCAGAACCCTCTTAAGCAAGTGGACATTTTTATTCATATTTTTTACTACATGTATTTCAGGGTCTATTTATTTTTAAGTGCAATCAAAATCCCCAGGAATAATTTCCCAGTAGTATTTAGTGAAATGAGCTTAACATGACTGCACAAAAAACCCCCAAACCACACACACTGTGTGTCTGTACCTTATGAAGATTTTCCATTGTATCTTCTGCCATTTGTCTTTTCTCTTCCTCCAATTTTGACTCCAGTTTCTCTACTTTCTGCGTCAGGTTCTGGATTTCCTCACTATGGTTGGAAAAGTAAAGATATTTATAGCTAGAAGTTTTCTGATGTTCTTGCTTTGAAAATACTGAACCTATTTCATAACACTTGGTTGCTTTGGGCTTTTTTTTTTAAGGCCAAAATTGGAAACTTCTCAGGATAACAATATCTATTCTCATAGTAACAGACATGTAACATCAGTTCTCAAGTTGTGACAGCACAGCCTTATGCTAAAATTAAGAAGTCCCAAGGTTACAGTGGTACTCTTAATACTATTAATAATACATCTAAATCTGCTACAGTTTCATATTTGTCAGTCAAACTCCTTTCTTACAAAACAATTATGAAGTCACCTTTTTTTGACACCCTCACACAGGATTATTACTCACAGTTATACAGAATACATGGAGCAACTGGAATGACACATTGGCAATGGTCTAGGAGCACAGGCTAAGGTAAAGATACAATTTTTCCTTAGAGAAAACATCTCTGAGCCCAACATGGTAGCTATTTCCATTTATCTTATTAATTTTTATTATAATTTAATTCTTATTTTTACTCTACTCCCTAGTCTTCCACTTCCTCTAAAATCACTCTACAGAATTCTTCCACCAGTAACTTACTGCTTTCCAAAACAGTTCTGCTTAAAAGAATTCCCAGCTTCTTGCAGTTCAGATGAACTCCTATGGATTTTGAGCCACTTCAAAAGAGAATTATACTTCAACAGTTTTTTGGTTCTGAAAGGATCTACTAACACAAGGTGTGATACCTTAAAGTCTGTTCTTCCGTACTCTTTTCTTCCATCTTACTCTGCCACTTCTGCAGCTCCAGCTCCACTTCAGCCTTAGCCTGCAGTAACTGCTTGATATCTGATCTTCGAAGGAATAAGGAAATCTAAGTGATACTTAAGGCATTCATGCTTCCACAAAGTAGTTCTTTTTGTTTAAACTTCTAAATAAAATGGCTTTTCTCGAATTTGTAAAGTAACTAAATGCTCAGTTTTTCCTTCTAAACAAAACAAAACACAAGCACACATTGTTCAGAAGGAAAAGGCCTCCTCACATGCTCTCACTATGCATCTTCATTCAGAAGTGACACAGGACAAATCATGTTGAAAGAAACCCACAAACTTTTACAGCACAATATACTTGCAAGAAGTGCTGCATAAAGAGACACAGAATCCATCAAAGGGTTTTCAGCGCGGTTGGCAGAAAAATAAGCCTTGAAAAACGTGTGAGAAACAAGTAGAAATTCTCATTTTCCACCCTCTGACCTTTTTTTCTGCAACGTGATTTTACAAAGAGAGTAGGATTAGAAGATGCATTTGAAATAAAAGCTGAAGGGACCCTCAAAATTAATTTTCTTGCTGAAAAATGTGAAGTACTTATTACATTATTTCATAACGTGATCAGAAATAATAATTCACACCTACAAAAGAACAACATCCCAGACAAGAGTCACACTTACTCTTTACTGAGTAGGAGATTTTGAAGTGCCTTCCTGTCACTCTTCAGTTTCTTCACTTCCCTTTGGAGACGATGACATTCCTCAACATGGTCTATATATTGGGGGGCTGGATGATCCAGGTCTACAGAAGGTGAAGATGCCACAGCAGGCAACTGTGATGAATCACTGTCTGCTGGTGACACCCTGGTGCTCTCCATGGCACATACTTTCTAAGCAGGATAAATTTACATGGAAAACACAAAAGAAAAAAAAAAAAAAAAGGGGGGGGGAATTCAAATTTACTGTAAAAAAATTTTAGTTAGGCCATGAGAAAGGATCAAATGAAAGTTAATTCTAAAACGTGCATCTATATGTGACAAATATGATCAAAGAAAACAGGGAGGAAGGGCACATGCTACAGACATCAGTTTACATGTGAGGCAGAGCACACACAGCTGATACACTGAGCAGTGGCATGCCAAGGAAACAAGCCAGTGGTTCTACATTTTCTGCTCCAAGACAGGTAAGGCCACACAACCACTTACCTTTTCCAGTTCCGAAATCCGCCTCACCAGCCTCTGTCTGCTCCACTCACTATAATCTAAACACAATAACAAAGCTTTAAACACGTAGCTACATCAGTGAGTCAACATTGTTCTCGCTTTTTGAAACTTCTGTCCATACAGAAAGACCATCTGAAGACCTTTGAATGCCAACTTTAAATATATACCAATGGAAAAAGGAGAATGGGCTTAAAATATGTGACTTCTAAACCAATTAGCTCAGAAATCAATATAAACCATTCACATTCATCAGCTTTCAACAACTGAAAAACAGTTTTTCAGTGCAATGCTAAATCCTCTAGTGATTCCAGTTCAGAATTCTCAGGCATAATAATAGAGGAAATGCAGGTCTGACTGGAGCAGCACATTCAGAAGTCAGACTCCTGTGAGGAAGTTCTCATTCCAACCTTTGCCACTCCCAAATCTTCACCTTTGTAATAACTCCCTTATTTCTACCACTGCAGGGTCCTGCTCCCAAACGTCTTTCAGCTGTTACCTAAATCCCTTGTCCCACATTCACCAACTTTTCAGCACATACTTTTTGTTTTACTGGGAGGAGGAGAACTGCTCAGCACATGATCCAGATCTTCCTTCAGCCTCCGATTCTCAGTCTGCAACTCCTTGATGTTCCTGGACAATCTCAGGACAGCAGCATTCAGTGCCTTCAGTCGCTTCTGGGTATCTCTGCCCTCTGTACTTGGAAAGGGGGTCAAACCAGAGAGTTAACTTTAAAGCACAGAACAAAGAACCAGTGTTAAAAAGAGTGCAGCAGCCTCACTATTCAAGTCAGCTGGCTAAGTTAATTGTCTCAGCTCCCCCCAGTAGCATTTCTCAACATCTTTTACTTGGGAAGTTATCTATTCTTTTAGCAAAAAAACCCATGCAAAGACCATCTTGCTCAACACTTTGATAATTGTTTTAATTTGCGTCAAAGGAAGAAGATACTTTAAAACTTTGAAAATTCATTTACTACTTTCACTTCCTCCCCCACTCTGTTTCATTAACACATCAACAAGGGTGCTGTATGAGTGTTGCTTATTTTGCTTTCTGCTTGTTTTGTTAACCACCTTTATAAAGCTTTACCAGCACCCTGAATCTGATTTAAAAACCACTTATCTTCAGTCAACTGTGAGACTCCTCCAAAAAACTGTTCAGCACAGAGACCTGCGTGCTCTAAACTGCTGTTGTTCACCTAACAAACAACCTGAGACTGGGAGAGAGAGAGGGCTGTACACACACAGAACAACTCTCTAACAAATCCAACACACAAGTGTGTTTTCAGATAGCTGGGAATGCTGCTCTAATGTAAGAAAAACTATCCTTGCGTCTATAAACCCCAGAGAAATTTCTTCATGTAAGGTATGTTTCAATCAATCAGAGATTTGAAACAGATTTGAAGAATTCAGCTAACAGGGGAATAAAAGACATCAGAAAAGGGAAATAGAAAAAAGAAAAGAGAAAAAGGAAAGCCTGCTATGTGTTATAACTACTTTAAATATGAAATATTTGTTCTTCATTGCTAATGAGAAAAATCTTAAAAAAATTACTTCTAGAAATAAAGGTCTGAAATGACTGATGGATCTAGTTTTGGACAAATGCCACTACCAGTGACAAACACAGAACAGTTTGTGAAGGAATCTTACATCCCACCCACAGGAATAATTACAAGGTAAAGCAGGAGACAGCCTACAGTTGGCATATCAGAGTGAGAAGCTGAATTTGATCTCCTTTTTAGAAATTAAAAGGAAATGAAAACATAAAAAACCAAGGCTGTCCAGATGTCATGGATGACTGTTCATACAGCTGTCCCAGGCAGGAGGAAAAAAAGAGTGAAAACCAAAACACAACACACCACCAAAACCAGGCAGGGACTGAAACGATAGAAATCATAACCATACCACTGAGTGACACTATTTTAGGCTCATCAAAACCTAAATTAAAGAACTGCAGACCATTTTGAGGACTTGAAAGGCTGCCTAGTTTCCAGCTACAATTGAATTCTACAGCTTCACATATAAATAATCACACTTTAGCATTTACACTGAAAACAGGAGCCAAATGCCATTCACTTCAGCCAGAAATAATGTAGACAAGCATCATGAAAGAAACACTCTCCTACAATACTTTCTATGTGCCAGAGCCCTGACCTTCAACATCATTTATTATTTCAGTGCTCGGCCTCTCAAGCAGAGACTGACAGTCACCTAATGGAGGGAGACTGCCCTGACCACTGCTTTTTGAAGCTATGAATAAATGAGGACAAGGAAGAGACCTGATGACTCATTTTCACCTGTAAATAAATTAGGTGTGATGGCTTACAGCCTCAAGAGGCTGGTCACTGCATGCCTGAGCCAAAAGAGAGAATTATTTTTTTAAAAACAGTGACAGAACAAATTGCAGTTTTTAAGCCACAAGTAACAGTGAATTAGGGAAACACAGGCAGTATAAATAATGACTCTAAAGAGTTCTCATATGTTTCTATCAATCTACATAATTACACCCAACATTAAGATGGTTGCCTGTAGTTAACATGAGGAGGTCAAGCATACTTTGAAGTGGTGGGGTAACAAATTTTCCTATCCCACCAGACACTCTTACCCTCTTCTGAGTTTGGACAACATGCACTTGCATTGATGCTTTTAATTTGTCTCTTACTGGGGCTTTGTCTTCTGCCTTTGTGCTTTGATTTTTATTGCTTCTATAGACTGCTCACCCTCACCACCACTGACACACCCACACACCAGTGACAAGCACAAGTTTCTCTCACAGGGACTTACTAGTCTGTCTGTCTGTACTAAAGAAAAATAATGTTTACTCCAAAAACCCTTTCTTTGCAGCACACACCCTTAGAGCAAGATGCAGAACTGACTCAAGAGTAAAATGCCAAACACCCAGTGAGTTTTTTTTCAATCACCAGTGATGCCAGAATACGTGTGATTATGGGGGAAGACGAATTTTATTTAAGAAATAAATTCTCAGAGCTTTCATGTACTTCTAAAATAGCTCTAGTATTTTTCCACATCCACAAAATGATTTATCTACAAGAAAAAAAACGTGACTGAGACATATGCCAAGGCTGTGAAGCCAACCAAATTAGTTTCAAAAAGCAAATCCAGCAATCTAAATGACAAACTGTTCCCCTGTAGTAGTTTTCCATCAGCTACAGTAGTACATGATGATATATCAAACACATATATGCAAATATTTGCCTCAAAAGAATTAAACATACTTTTTCCTCATAGTCTCAGACTTTGCCAGGAGGAGTTGGAGGCGATGAACCTGTGAAATACAGATTCCATTAAGAAGCATTAGCAATGTCAGCTTCCACAGCACAGATTTATTCACTAGGTGAAAATCAGAACAAGACTTTGGGTAGTAGCAAAGGTAACAATGCTATCACTGAAAATCAGGCTACTGTTACACTGGCTTTCATCTTGACAGTACACTTAGGGATGTACAGTAGTTTCTTTATTTGCCCTTTTTAGTTAACATGCTCAACTTACTGAAGGAAAACATTTTTTCAGCACATGCAGTTGGAGCTATGAGAATATCTATGAAAATAGGTGCAGCTAAGCTGTAAGAAACCTATCTAAAATATTCCCTTTATATTTGGACTCAACAACTGAACAGCTTCCCCTCCTGCACGCACTGAAGGACCTGTCAGACCTACCTCTTCATAGTAGGTTTCCATAGCTAACCTCACTTCTTCCAAATTGTTGGTCTTCATGTCTGCCTGGAATTCACTGAAAATAGAATAATACAAAAAATAACCCAGTCAGACCAGCAAAGACACTGCAGTACCTGTTGGTTCACAGTTTCTGGGTGGGTGTTTTATAATTGCTAATACATTCTTGCAGTTTATTAAAATGTCTTAAGGAATATAAGAACACAAATGCAAAATAATATGGATTTCCAATTTTGTTTATTAGCTCATCCAATTCATGCCTCTACTCCTTGCCCCCACAAAATCATACTTAATAGTGTTGTCTTTCTCCTTGCACTGCTGTTCAAGCTTGAGAATATTCTGCTTTAATCCACTGACCACCTACAGAAAGAATAAAACACTCATGAGTCCTTGAATAATCTGTCTCTTCACATAAGTTCTATTCCTCCACAATCTTGCCCTGCCTTTATAAATTGTACCTAACAAGACATACTTATTCCTACATGCTTCAGTACTTAGTAATCATACATATCTGCTACCCTGTGAAAAAGAGAATGAAATGATCTAATGAAAAGATCTAATGAAATCAGATCCCTAATTTGTATCTGTGGTAACGTCACCAGCTTAAGAATATTTATACACAATTGTAAAATAAAAACAACTTTGCCTATTACCTTCCTATACCTTTGCCTATTCAAAGCAGCAAATAAAAGGGAGAATACTCCCTAAACAGACTCAAGACAATGACAAAGAAAGCTCCCTAAAATAATGTTAATTCTAGATCTTTGTTACTGGTTGACAAAGCACCAGTACTTTACCTGACTACAGAGATAAAGGTTACATGATTCCCTAATTGCTTATTTTTTCTCTACTTCATTTTATTTTCAGTAGTGTTTCAACTTGGCAAGAGGAAGAAGGAAAAATGAAAGCAGAAATAATGAAGAAACCATTACCCATCCATTATCACTCTTCTTTTCTAATAAAGCTCGTGCCAGCTCAGAGCCCTGAAAAACAAGACAGAAAGCAAGTGACCAACCCTGCTACTTTATTCTATTGCTGGCTCTTCCCACAGAATTTTCCAACCTACTCATCTCCACAGTCACTTCACAGACCAAATTCTGAAGTCCCTATGCTCATTATTCAATATTAGCACATTTATTGTAGATCTGCACACAGGAAGTGACAGCCACGAGAAATTCAGTGGGATTCAAGTCTAAGTCTAACCACAAACACTTCTCAGCCTTGTGGGTCTGAAAATAAGGCTGCTCTTTTGCTTCCTGGTCAAGTCTCAGGACTGACTGCATGCACTGGTCACCCTGCAAGAGGTTAACTCCCTTCTGCTCTCAGGCAAAATATTCAGAAAGTGGGCCCCTAAAGAGACAGCATTTTCATTGTACCTTCAGAAATTACAGGTATCTTTGCTAAATGAACTTATCTGCACTGCATGGCATAATCTTCCTTGGAACTGAGCTGAGATGCACAAAAGAAATCCCTTTGCACCAACCAGCCACCTCTCATATTCAAGCTCATCATTCCTAGGGGTCAACATGCAATAGACTTGCACTCTTCTGTCCCACTTCTATCCCCCCAAGAAATAGTCACCCTGGAAGCATCCAACAGTTGTTCAATCTGTTTATCCTTCCTATTGTTCTCCTGTTCCAGTCGACGGAGCTTCGTTTTCATTCGATCTCCCTCATTTTTCTGAGCTTGTATTGTCTAAGAGAGGGGAGAAAAATTGAAAGCACATTTCACATTTCAGAAATAGGAACACACATTTTGATGTCAGTAACAATCCAATGACGATGGTGACAGTGAAGCGAAAGAGAAACAAACAACAACAACAAGAACGAAAAAATACCATCCCACTGGAGCAGGGCTGACAGATCAGGGAGGTGACAGTCCTCATCTTTCATACACTGCACTCACCTCAGCAGACAAACTGTTAAAGTGTGATCAGTAAATGGGTAATGGACAGGAAGGTGAGGGGGAAAAAAAAGGAGGTGGGGGCAAAGAAACCAAAGGCAATGAACCTTTTTAGCATCCAGCTAGGGCCATGGTTGGGGCTCAGCACTGGCTACACTTCAAGGCTTCCACATCCAGCACTCAGAAGCATCTATCACACCATGAGAACAATGAAACTGCCTCAGTCTGACACAAGTTTTAGTTAAGCCTTACATTACAAATGCAAAAAACGTGGTGGATGTCCCAGTTGTAGAAACCAAAGTATTCTGGAGCAGTAAAGCCTGGGCACCTTCAGGTGGAGGAACGAGACTGTGAATTTTTCTGTGAGTATCAGAGAGACTGTACCTTTTTCAGTTCTATAATTTCATCATACATATCTTCTTTTTCTTTGTAGTCAGGAGTTCCAGGAATGTAGCCTACAGAAAGGGGTATGTAAAATAAGTAGATCCAAAAGAGGTATTTTTAACTTGTCAGGAATCTTACAGTTAAAGAAAAATATCTAGAACAGCACCAAACTGGAAACTAGGCTTTTTTTTTTTTTCCTAGAAGAAAAATCAGCAAGGAAATTAATTTTAGAAATGGAGGTGAAATGGAAGTGTAGCTATATGAAACTTCTGCCAGATTTTACAGCCAATTTCTCCTAATTACTTCTCTCTGGTGCTATATTAAAATATCTATCTCAAGAAAGATACAAACTCCACAGAAGACTGAAGTCTTCTCATCCCAACAAATCTATTATTTACAAAAATTTTCTACAAGGTGTCCAGAATCCACTTTTCTCTGTATGCTTAACATGTGATAATCTATCAACCTCAAAAGTGGCCAGAAACTGTGTATTACCAGTAGAAATATAGGTGTCATTTTAAATGGAAGTGGAATTTTTAAGTTCACAGTTCTGCTTTAAGAAAAGCAGGATTAAAGTTTGCTCTTCTCATAAAACTCATTTGATCTTAACGTCACAACCACACAATAAAACACTTTCTAGAGAAGAAGTGAAAGGAGTCAATTACACAGAATTTCAGGCAAGCAGATGGTTTCTATCACTGGTTCCTAAACTATGTTTTGCAAAGTCACAATAAATTGTCTACAGCTGTCCCATTGAACCATATTATACTTGCAACATTTTCAGCTGCAAATGCATGGCAATTTGCAGAAGTTCTGAAAGCTAACAGTGATTCATTGCTCAAAAAAAAAAATAAATTGGAAACCCCTGCCTTAACCAATTTAGAAATTTCAAAAAGTATCCCAGGGATGATATTTTGACACATATATTTTAACCAACTGAAATGGCTCTTGCTTTATTGAAGCAAAGATCTTAAGTAATGTGTGTTTTTACAGAGGAAAAATATCATTAACTTTTATCCACCACACCACTGCAGACTTTACCATTACTAGAAGAACGAGAATGTTTTGGCTTCTTCATTCCTAGAGCTTCCTTCAAATATTCTGGAGTGCTACTGGAAATGTTGGTTCGCATATGCCCCACGTCAACATCTGATTTCAGAGGATGGCTCATTCCTGCCAACAAAAATGGAACAAAAATGCAAAAATCAGGGCTAATTGTGAATTAAATGTGTGGATTTATTCTGAGCAAATGCAACATAGAAAGCTCCAGATGCTGTTAATTTTTCCCTCTATAAATTCCAACACTCAAGATCAGATAATTTCAACCTCCCAAATAAATAATAGTGAAATGACTTCCTATGCAAACTTTAATCAAATAAAACTCTATTTTTTAAGAGTTTATACGTTAAGCTGGCCACAACCCCCAATTTTATCCATACATGCAGATCTAATTTCCATACTATTACCTTGTTTCAGTGATTCCAGCCACAGCTGCCTTGGCTTTTTTACAGCTGCACTCTCTGAACATGCACTGCCCGTTCCCTGCAGAGATCGCCAAGCTGCAGCTTTTTTGGGATACAGTTGTGTGCTAGAGCTGTAGGGAGACTCTGGAGCAAAAGAAAACATCTTAGTCCTGCCTTAAGGTCACAAAAATTCTTGTTGTCTTGTGCTTCAAAGTTCTCAGACACAGTCCTAATACTTATAAAATTAGAATTAACAGTGTACTACATCCTGGCTTGTACAGAGTAACAGGACACTCAAAAAAAACCAAAACCCTAAAAACACTGTATAGAAAAAATAGAATTCCAAAAAATGAAGAGGCTTAAAAAGAGGCATAATGACAGTAGTATGACTCAACACATGGAAATATTTACATGTCCAGTTTGGATAGGCAACCTTAAGATACCTGCACATCTAAATTAATGTTGTTAACAACACTTTAAGGTAAAGTCTTCTTTGAAACGTTCACTGGAAGCCTAAAAAAAGAGTTAAATGGAAAAGTATAGCAAGAAACAAACTTCAGAAAAGAAAAGGACAAAACCCATATTAAAAGTGCAGATCTAATAATAGCATTGTACTTCTAAGATTATGTGAATAAAAACCCCACCAACAAACGAAACAGAGAACTGCTAAATCCACACACACATATCTACTGGGTGGCAGGGAACTCCAGTAATTCTACATTGCAAGTATCAGCATTTCTCCAAAACTACAACAAGAAATTCAGAATATTTGCCAATAGAATGAATAACATGATAAAAAAGTAGCTTATGCTGGAGAATCAAGAACTACAGCTATTCCATAAACTTCAACATTTAGCCTATACAAGTAGAACTTGACAAGTTTCAGAACAAATCTCAAATAGGTGTGCTCTGCACACAGCAGTGAATAATTCTGAAGAGAAGAACAAGATGTTGTCTCAAATAAATACTTCAGTTTCTGTGAACAGCAGAAGGCAAAATTTTGCAACACTTACTTGGTGACTTGGGAGGCTTGTGAAAAATCTTCTTCTTTAACTTCTGAAAGAGAAACATATTTTTATGATTGAAAATATTCAACTCTTAAGATTTCTGCACATAATCTCAAAATTGGCTCCATTGTCTGTGTATGTCTTGTATTCTAATAAGACAAAATCTTGTCTATAGAAAAGAAAAACAGAAGCATTAAGTATATGCAGATTTGGCCACATCAACAGTCACCACGAAGGTAGTGCCCACTGAAGTTTGATGCCACAGATAAATAGCTGACATGAAAACTCACCATTTCTGTGTCTGACTCACAGGTTATCACAGACAGGCTGTCATCTCCCTGGGAAAGACACAGGAACTGTGACATCTGCTGCTAAACAACTGGTTATAATACACATCCAGAAAACTTTATATCATTTACTATCACAACAAAGTGAGAGTGCAATAAATCCAAACAGTAAATGTCATCACCAGATCCTCTGTTTCTCTTCCATTTCATTTCTCAAATGTCAAATGGATGAGATAGGAGTTTTCAATTCTTTCTGATAAAAATAAGCCATTTGTCAAAAACACTTAAGTTGCTGAGAGATGGCTGTTGCAAATCCCAGCATCACTTGCTGTAACACAAACGGTCCTGTGATGTTGTGTAAGTCACTTCAGTCATGAACCATCACAGAATGGTTTGGGTTGGAAAGGACCTTAAAGATCATCAAATTCCAGCTCCCCTGTCATGGGCAGGGACACCTTCCACCTGAGTCACAGTGACTTGTGCACTGCAGTGCACAGCTGAACCTCCAGCTGGTTCTGCCTGAATTTCTCCACCAGTTAAGCTGCAACTCATTCACCTGTTCCCTTCCCCACTCGTTTGTCCTACCCTTGCCATGCTGTGGGATGGTTCAGTTCCCACATTCAACTGGAGAAGTGATCAGGCCGAGGGAAAAAAACTCAAACCAAAGAAGATGACAAGTTTCCCTGCTTCTCAAATGTAACCATATTCAGAGCAGAATGGAAATTTCCACTTTGCTTTCAAGTTATCTGGATGCATTCTGCCCTCACAAAGACCTTTTCCACTTGCTGCTGACTCCATGGCACTCACAGCACCATTCTTTGGACAGATGCTGATCCGTGTCTGTCAGAGGCAGGGGAGGGGGTGAAGTGGTTTTTGAGAACCCTGGTTGGCAGAACAGGAGCAAGGATTGACCACAGAGCAGGTAAAACAACTTTCTGTGCTGGCTGAGAGGAGGCAGGTCTGTATCTCACACACCATGCCACACAGTTTTTAATTTCCTGAGGTGATGCTCCTTGCAGCACACTGATTATTTTTGTTATTTTAAGGCCTCTCACTCTGAAATATCTCTCTCCCCAATTGCAGCTATCACACTTGGAATCAGAGAACGTGGAAGGCGCTCAGCCCTGATAAATGGTAAATAACAAAACATTCACCAGGACACAAACATGCAATAACAAACCCATCTCTGTCCTTGGAAACCTTCACGACCTCTTTGCTCCTGAAAAACTGGCCCAACTAGAGCCACCCATGACAGGCAACAAAGGAACATGGGGGCTCCCAAAGGGGCTAAAAATCTCCACCTGGCTGCTGAAGGGGTGGGAAACGAACACCAACACAGAATCACAGGATCAACTGGGTTGGAAAAGACCTCTGAGATCACCGAGTCCAACCCGTGCCCGAACACCACCGTGTGAACCAGACCATGGCACTCAGTGCCACGTCCAGTCTTTCCTTAAACACCTCCAGGGACGGTGACTCCACCACCTCCCTGGGCAGCCCATTCCAATGTCTAATCACCCTTTCCGAGAAGAAATTCTTCCTAATGTGGAAACTAAACCTGCCCCGGTGCAGTTTTAGACGATGCCACCCCCACGCCGTGCCATGGACCGGCTAGAGAGACAGAGGCAGGACTCAAGAGTCTCTCGGGCTGGAGACGGACCAAGCCATCCTCCTCCCACTTACTGAGGGGGCTTTGTCCCGGCCCCGAGGGAGCGCTTCGCGGGCCGGGCCCGGGCTGAGGCAGGCCTAGACCTGGCGCCTCCTCCTCCTCCTCCTCCCCGCGGCTCACTCCTTACCAGTTCCCCCTCCGCTGCCGCCTCGCCGGCCCCGCGAGCCATGCTGGGAGGGCGGCGGGGAGGCCTCACGGGGCGCCGGGGCCGCGGGGGCCCCCTCGGGCCGTGTCGGGGCTGGGGGCGGCCATGGCCCCGCGGCGGCACTTCCGGGTCGCGGTAACCATGGCAACCACCGCGCGCCGGAGAGAACGAGCGCCCCCCTGCGGCCCGGGGTGGCGGCGCATGCGCAGAACATCGGCGCGCCTGAGGGCAGCGCCGGGTAGGGCTCGGGCTGTGCGCGGAGCGCGAGTGACACCAAGCGGCGCCGCGGGGCGGGAAAGCCGGCGGGCGGCGGGACAGCCCCTGCCAGGTTCCGCTCCGCCAGCGCGCCGGGAGCTCCTGCGCGGGAGCAGCCGACCGAACGCGGGCAGAACGCGTCCACATCCCGCACCCACCGCCCGCCCGCAGGGCGCGCGAGCTCCACGGCCCCCACCGGGGCTCGGCCACGCCCCCCGACCGAGCTTTGGCCACGCCCCCTTTGCGACACTCGCGGTGCGGCCGCGCCGGGGCCGGTCCCAGTGCTGGTCCCTGTTCCTGTCCCGGTGCCGATCCCTGTTCCTGTCCCTGTCCCAGTGCCTGTCCCTGTTCCTGTCCCGGTGCCGATCCCTGTTCCTGTCCCTGTCCCTGTTCCTGTCCCGGTGCCGATCCCTGTTCCTGTCCCGGTGCCCCCCGGCCATGTCCGGCCCCCAGTCCTGGTTCGTGGCCCGGGCCCGCCACCGCTTCGCCATGACCCGCGAGTGCGCCGTCCTGCTGCCCGGCGTATGCGCCGCCCTGGCCGACCCGCGGCAGCCCGGCCTCGACGACACTTGCCTGGAGAAGCTGCTGGACTGGTTCCGCAGCCTGACGTGGTTCGGTGAGCGCCGGGGGCCGGGCCGAGGGGAGGGAGGGCGGCGGGTCAGCACCGTGGGGGAAGGTCCATCACGAAGTGATTTGGGTTGGAAGGGAATTCTGGGGATCCTGCAGTCCAGTCCCCTGCCAAGGCAGGGCCACCCAGAGCAGGTGACACGGGAACGCGTCCGGGTGGGATTTGAATGTCTGCAGAGAGGAAGACTCCACGACCCTCTGAGGTGCTGTCCCCTCGGAGACACCTGAAAACGCTGGGCTTGGACCCAAATTCCTCAGTTCTAAGAGTTGTGAGGGGTTACCTCAGCTCAGGGAATCACCTCAGTGGGAGAGGACAGTCCTGGCAGTGACCTGCTGTTCTCTGGCACCACTAGACCCGACTGTGGAGCTGGTGCAGGACAACCCGTGTCTGACAGAGCTCATCAGCTCCGTGCTGGCCCTGCCTGAGCCCAGCCCCAGCATCCTGTCCTTCACCCTGCAGTTGGCTGGGATACTCGCTGCCTCCGAAAACCGCTTCCAGCACCTGCAGGTGAGTCAGCTACCTGGGATTATGGGATAACTCTGCCTCCGAGCAGTGACTGTACAACACTGAATCCCTGGACTGATCCTGTAGATTTAAACTTCACTAACATGTCATTTTCCCTCTATAGTAGGTTGACAGGAAGTTTCTGATTCTCTGCAAAAATGAGAGAGCTTTATAAAGCCCTACTTTCTACACTAAAATACATTAATAGTACAAAACCCAAAAGGCTTCATTCAGGGAAGAGATGTGTACAAGTGCATAGAGCAGTCTAATGGAACTGATAAGTTCCATTCAAGTTCCATTCCATATAAGTTGATGTATACCAACTCATGATATACAGAAGTTGTCTCTAGCACCTGAAAAACAAGCAGTTTTGGTACTGAACAACTCTGTTGCTTAATCCCTGAGAGAGCCATACGTTGAGTTTAAGCCTGGCATTCTGAAATTTTTCTATTTTCGTGGTACTTCTAGCAAGAGAATCTTTCACTACACTCGATACTCTTGACCTGGAGGACAGAGCAGCCTCCCCCCTCCCCTTTAGCCCCTCTGCTCACCGTTTCCTCTGTGTTCTGCTCTGGCCTCAGCAGGAGAAGCTGCTGGGGAGGCTGTTTGGCCAGGACGGGCCCCGGGGCCGTGCAGTGTGGGAGGACGCGTCGGTGCGCAGCGGTTGGGTCAAGGGAGTGCACAGCATGGTGCACCACCAACCTGCCCTGCACTTCCTCTGCAGCGGGGGTGAGTACTGCCAGCTCTGCTAACTCACTCCCCAGATTCTCTGTGTCCCTTCCATTCCAGTCAGGTGTTTGCTCAGATGTCAAATTCCAGTTGCTCACATGTCAAATGAGCGAGACGAGTCTTCGTTTATTTAAGAGTTAAAATAAGCCATTTGTCAAAAGCACCAAGGTCATTGAGGATCTGCAAACTGTTTTCTTATTTTGTTTGCTTATTGTTAAGGACTGGCTGACTTTGAGTAGAGGCTCCAAAATAAAGGATAAGAAACTCCACCACCACCATTTAAAGCTGTGTGGTACCTGAGTTAGTCACACATGGCTGGAGTTCAACAAGGCTCCACCTCACCATAGGAACGCCGTTGTTTTTTCCTCCAGTGACTTGTTCTGTTTTCCCACAGGAGGCATGGACGTGATCTTCGCTCTGCAAGGGGATCCCAGCCTGTTTGTGGCTTCAGCTGCCAGTCAGCTCCTGGTGCACATGCTCACCTTCTCTGTAGAGTCTGAAACATCTAAACCCCTCAGCCCAAAGGACTGTGAGTGGCCAGCGTGTGCCCAGATGATTAAAAAGCATGTGGAAGATTCCCTTCAGTCCGGCTCTGCCTCTCACATCGAGCAGTCACTAAAGCTGTTAATCAGCTTGTTTGGCAGTTGTTATGCTGCATGGACTGAAGTGCTTTGGTCAGACATAGCAAAGCAAATAGAATCCTTTCTGATGGAAGAGACTCTTCAAGCACAGCACATGCTGGCAAACCTTTTGCTTAACGTGGCACGGTAAGGATCTGGCACCTTGGATCCCGTGGTCAGATATATCTGTTTTCCACTGTGTAATAGGATATATAACTTACACTTCTTTCTTCTCAGGTCCCCTGTGTTTTGTGACACTGAAGGCAGTTTTTGGGCATTAGTAACTTCTGCTCTGGAACACTTAACCCCAGTACAAGCATGTCCTTTGGCAGTGGGACTTCTGAAGCTCTGCAAATGGTAGGACTTACTGCAATGAAATTTTTACACTCTGCATATGTTTCTGTACTAAGATCTCTGCTGTCTTTCCAGGAACTGTTTTTGTCCTCATTGCATTTTCTGTTACATTGTTTAATATGTGAGACTGGTTGCCAAGAGTCATGCCAGTAACTAACAGACTTCAGACTGTACTGATAGTAAGGATAATACAGTTTCAAAGAGAGAGAGATTAAAGGAGCCAGTAGCTTGTAATGTGTATACTCTTGCATCTTACCTACAGCCAGCCAATTCCAGGAAGAAATAGCAAACTCCAGTAACTATACTGCCAAGGTTGACTGAGATGAACACAATTTGGCTGCCTGTCAAATCCAGTAGTCTGTTCCATTTTCCCTTTCACAAAAACCCTGGCTAGTGTAAGAGCTTTCACTCTGTCCAGCAGAAGTAGGGATCTGGAGACTCTGGAGACAGTTGTAGAATAAGTGAAGTTAGAAAGAACCTGTAGAAGTGATCTAGTTTAACCTCTTGTTCAGTGCAGGGTTCACTTCAAAGACAGGTCAGGTTGTTCAGGGCCTTCACCCTTCAAACTTCAAATATCCCCGAGGATGAGGATTCCACAGCTTCTCTGGGCAACCTGTTCCAGTTTCATTTCACTATGAAAAGTATTTTCTGTGTACCCAGTTGGAATCTACCTTATTGCAATCTAAGATTCACATCTTGTGCACCTCTGAGAAGTCTGCCTGCACCTGCTCCATAACTGCCCTTTAGGTAGTGAAAAAGTATCAAGAAATCATCAGATGAATACAGCATATACAGATTCTGGTTTACAGGCTAAGTAACACTTATGTTTTAAGATAGAAGGACACCATTTTGTTGACAAGAAACACTTCCCTCTCAGCCTCCTTCTTACACAGGATCCCACTCTCTATTTGCATACCTTGATAAAGCTCCTTCTAAATTCCAGAGCCATTTCTCCTCTGCTTTCAGTTCACAAGGGAAGCTTGGAAGAAGGCTCAAACTGTGATACTGCTTCTGTTGCTCTGTCATTGCTGGCTTGGTTAAAAGCCTGCATAAAAATCATTATCCTGTTCAGAATTTGGGGGCAGACATTTGGGAAGGAATTGAAGTGTTCTTGTTTTGGTAACTGCTATTTCCTCCTTGAAGCCCACAAGATGTGAGGATTCAGGCACTGACTGTTCTACTTCAGCCAATGGACTGTATTTTGAGAGCAGCCTCCCAGCCTCTGGAATATGCAGGTACAGTTGTGAGAGAAAAGTTAGAGGCCAGTCTGCTTGCCAGCATTTCAAGGGTCTGGTGCAGGCAAAACTGGAGGTGAAAGAGTAGAACAAGTCAAGGACAGTAGCAGTGTTTGTGATAAAGTGCAGCATCCTACTGACAGTTGCATTTGAAGGGATATTCATACTACATCACTGAATATCTTGATTAACTTTGAAAATCACAGTCTTTTGTACTTAATAACAACTTGAGCTCTTCCCTTCTCTGGTCCTCTAGGTTTGCTGGATGAGTCTGTTAGTGATCCTGTCACTGTTGAAAGTCTTCTGTCCTCCAAGACATCTTGTGCTGGTCTCCTGTGTCAGACCTTGGCTCACCTGGAGAAGCTGCTGTCTTTGGTAACATTCAGAGAGCGGAAAAAAGCCTGGGGATCAAATTGGTCCTTGAAAGACAGTGTTAAGATTGGTTGCAAATTTTTGCAGTCGAGCTTTAATAGAACATGGAGAGGAGCTGACAGTGAGGGCTTCCATAGATTAAAGAAATTAGCAAATATTAGCAAAAACCTTTCAAATATGAAAACAGAACAATACTGAGGCTTGTAAAGAAGGACTGCATGTAAGTTCTAAATCCATCTTCACAAGCTTTGTTACCATACCTCCTACTGCAATTATTGATGCAGTGAAAAAAAACAAAGATAATTTTTTTGTACTTCTTAACATTGTGCTACCTTAAGAACCCTCTAGAAATTGCAGATTTCACTCCTTCCTGACCAAAAACTCTTTGTACACACTTGGAATTTTTGCAGGAAACTCT